CCCCCCTCCTCCTCCGCCTCCGCCTCCATTTCCTCCTTCGCCTCCTCCTCTTCTTCCTCCCCCTCCTCCGCCTTTTGCTTCTCATGCACCTAATGTTCCTCATGCTGCTGCTCTCCGCCTCATCCTCACCTTCATCATTACCCTCGATGTCCTGCGCCTCCTCCTGCTTCTAGCATGCTTATTAAATTTTATAAACAGGAACTGTCTTGGCCACCTAGCGGTAAACTCGCACATGGATTAGGGACGCTCCATCCTGCCCGTCAAGAAGCAACACAAAGTCCCCGCTTCCTTTTTCAACATGGACGTTCTGTCGTCGACGTTGCAAAATGCGTGGCCAGAAATGGACGGGTCGCGCGCGCGAAAGGGCGAAATGCCGCTCTCACTTCGCCATCGCACCCATTTTTCCTGAGAGCTGGGCTCCCGCTTGGGCGCGGTGCGCACGTTCCGCTCGCCACTTCGCCGATGCGCGAGCAACCGATGAGGCCGCCCTCGCCTCCGGTGCCTAGCAATTTTAGCCCGAAAGCGGCGCTCCCGCTTCGGCGCGGCGCCGATTGCGGCACTCGCCAAGTCGGTGGAAGCCGCGAGGCCGCGCGCGAACAGGCGACTTCTTGTGACCCCTGCCCAGCTCCGTGCAGAGCTGCGCCTGGAAATGGGGCTCCCCAGAGGGGGGGGGGGGGGGGGGGCAAGATGTATATCCATATCCGGTGTCTCTTGGACTTTTTTGGGAAGGGGCGCCACAGGGCCGAGGCGCACTCGATAGGGGCAACAATCGAGCCTCTGGGGGGGGGCAAAGTTGTGCATGTCCAGTGCGCCCTCGTTTTTTTTTTTTTCTTCGGGCTGGCGTGCAAGTCTCATCGCCCTAATCTCCAGCAGCATCCCGACCTACCTACAGCCACACCATTGCCGCCTGTTTAATTGGCAAGAAATGCGTGAAAACGTGAAGTTCGCGGAATGTGAAGCACGCTACCTCCGAGAGCCGTCCCCGCGCCGTGTGAAAAAATGCGAAGCCATGAACCCACCACGGGTGCCCGTGCCTGAGTCACCAACTTTGTGTGAGTCACAGCAGAGCCACACCTACGAAAAATATGCGTCATGCCAGCCTGCGCCCGAACACCCTGTCGGTGCAAAGCGCGTTGAACGGCAAAGGAGGCTTCAAAATAGACCCGGCGCGATCGTAATTAGGGATTTCCTGGGGAAAAATCCCAGCGCGACCCAACCCAGGAGTTGGAGCATCCAGGAACAATAGGAGGTACCAATGAAGAACCCCCTAGCCAAGCCTAATTGGGGAAGGATCAGCGCGAATCCGATGGTCAGTTGCGGCCATCTCGGCAAGCGCAATCTACGGCTTGGACAATAAAGCTCGAGAGTGCTCCCGCTGAGAAGGCCAGCGGCCGCGACATGCTTCCTGGACGTGCCCCGCTGCTGCGCCCTTGCTATCCACCACCACCCCCCCCCTCCTCGTGCGATCTCAAGGGCTATCGCTGGCATCGCCGGACAAGGGATCCGCTGCGATCAGGCGAGCGGTGCCAGGCGAAAGCGGCGCTCGGTACCACCGCGCCCCGACCACGGCCAGAAGCGCGCTGGCCACGGCCGCACAGAGCACGGTCGTGGACAGCCCTCCGAGAGCTGCGGCGCGGTCGAGAGCGGCGACCCCGGCGTCAAGCTTGGAGTAGAGCAGCGTGGGCTCGGAGCAGTTAGGGGCAGAGCAGTCGATCGAACGGGCAACCGAGGCGAACAGGTCTCCGACGGGCTCTTCCGTCGTGAGTGCACCAGCCGCCGTCGTGGACGCACTTGGCTGGGTCACCGGAACGGGCGTTGTGGGAGGGCCGCTGTACTGGGTAGGGGCGGAGAGCGTCGCCGCGCTAGGCTTGTACACGTTGATCGGGGCCCGAGCGCACACGTCGCCAACCGCTTCCTTTGTGGTGCCGATCTTTCCGACCCTGATGTTGCTATACGTGACGTAGGCGTGCGGGTTGCTCTTGCGCACGTTCTCCGGCGTGGAGACACCTGGCGTACAATTGCCTCGCTCGGCTCCCACGTTGGTGCTGCCTTTCGGGTAAGTGCTGTCCAGCCAGTCCATGTACACCGAGGTGTCGTCCCAGATGCTCATGACGAGAACCATGCCGCGGTCCAAGGCATCGCCGAGAGCTTTCATGCCGCCTCTGTCCTGGAAATCCGCAGGGTCCCCGAACGCCGTCTTCTGCGCCTTGCAGAAGTCGTCGGTCATGGAGGACGCCGACTCGTCGACCAGACTGGGGGAAGGCATCTCGATCGTCTTGCCATCCTGCTTGTACGAACGTCTGATCTCGACAAGGTCGCCTTCGTCGGTCCCGTCGCTGGTCAAGAACTGCGTAGTGATCGTCATGGCTTTGGTGGTGTCGATCTGAAAGCCCGCACCGGGCCCGAAGAAAGCTTTGTTCCCGAGCCGCCAGTCGTTCCAGTCGCAGCCGTCCCTGTCGCACTTCCCCTGCGAGCGCGTCGCATCCCCGTGCTGTCCGGG